ATTTTGAAAAAGAATGTCTTGGAAATGTTTCCATCATTATGTTACTTCAGAAGTGAAAAACATGTAAGAATACAAACTCTCATATCTGCACATCTTAAAAGTTTTAGAAACAATTTTCTAACCTTTAAGAAAATCTTTCAAATAAAACTGTGAGTTTAAAATCAATTTGTCAAAAATATAAGAAATTGTTACCCTTACTGACACATTTGCATGAACTGAGTGATAGAAGGAAAGATGGAAATTTATGAGCCAAATTGCCTAACTGGTAAGATGGGATTTAAAAAATTAATGTTGTAATTTTGTAATACTGTGATTGACTGAATGGCTCCCTCAAAGATGTCCATGTTGAAATCCCCAAAACCTATGACTTACTGTGGCAAAAGGGACTTTTTCTGCTGATGTGATTAAGCTAAGGATCACAAGACGAGAGATTATCGTGCTTTATCCAAGTAGGCCCAAAGCAATCACAAGGATCCTTGTAAGGGGGAGGCAGAGTGAGCAGCAGATGTGAAGATCAAAGAAGTTGGAGTGATGTGAAGAAGGGGCCATGAGCCAAGGAACGCAGGCGGCCTCCGGAGAGTGAAAAATGAAACAGATTTCCCCCTCAGCACCACCAGAAGGAATGAGCCCTGCCAACACCTTAACTTGAGCTCAGTGAGAATGGTTTTGAATTTCTGACTTCCACAAGTATAAGACAGTGAGTTAGTGTTGTTTTAAGCCACTAAGTTTGTGGTAATTTGGTACAGCAGCAAAACAAAACTAATACATGTACTTTCTTCCCTTTACATGTATAAATCATTATGAGGATATTTATAGCTATGGTAGAAATTAAAACCAAGGATTCAAATAAACTAAACTTAAAACCAGATCTCCAAATAACTTTATAAGAAAAGCTTAAATGGAGATTTTCAGACATGATGACACACGTCCAGTCATACTACCTTCAGTCAGCAAATGGTTTCTTTATACTGTTAAAAAATAAAAATTATTTTAAAAGTCTATATTTTACTTTTTATCTCCATCTTTTTAATTTCTATTTCTGCACAAGTTTATAACATAAACAATGTACAGTGAAACCTGTGAGAGCCGAACTCAACAGGACTGCTTTGTTTTTCTGGGTCTTGCTAGTTCCCACCTCTGACAGGGTGCAGTCCTACCACTTGTCTATCGCTTTCTATCTACAGGGTCGCTATGAGCTAGAAGCGACTCAACGGCACCTTTAACAACAATAACATCACTATTAGTGGAAAATATCTCAGTTTTCCCTTCTCTGACAGGTATCTGCCTTACACAGGTTCCGGCTTTTGCAGGTTTTACTATATCAGTACAGTGGTACAATATAAAGAATCAGCTAAAAAAATTTTTTTTTAAATGGGTGGTCAGTCAAGGAAAGATGAAGATCAGTGCAATAGATTTTTGGATATACGGATCTGGAAGGGTGGTTTACTTATCTAAAGACAGTCAGGGGAAGTCTTTCAAAATAATTATTCCATTATTGCTGATTATCAGTTCTGATACATTTTCCTTTGTTTCCTTCACATTAAAAATTTCTCCCAACTATAATCAAATATAAAGGAGCTCCGGTGGCACAATGGTGAAGTGCTCAGCTGTTAACCAGAAGGTTAGCCATTCAAACCCACCCAGCAGCTCCACAGGATAAAGAGCTGATGATCTGCTCTCATTAAGATTATAGCCTAGAAAACCTTACGGGGCAGTTCTACTCTGTCACACAGGGTTACTATGAGTCAAAATTGACTCAGTGGCATCTAACTACAACATAATCAAATATAATAATATAATCAAAAGGCCAAGTTAATCCAAAAAATAAGTAAATAAAAATGAATACAACTCAAGAAAAATAATTATTTCTTGCTCTTAGATCAGGAGTTAAAAAAACAAAATGAAAAGTGAAAGAGGGCTTATTTGCTGCTGTTGTTAGTTGCTTTCAAGTTGGCTCCAACTCATGGCGACCTTAAGTACAGCACCATCTTCATGATTGTTGGTATGTCTGAGCCCACTGTTGCAGCTACTGTGTCAATTCACCTGACTGAGGGTTTTTCTCATTTTCACTGACCCTCTACTTTACCAAACATGATGTCCTTTTCTAGGGACCAGTCTTTCCTCATGATGCATACAAAGTCAGAAAGCCGAAGTCTCACCATACTCACTTCTAGGGAGCATTCTAGTTGTGCTTCTTCTAAGATTTGTTCTTTCCTCTGGCAGTCCACAGTATATTCAATGAGACTACATACTACTCTAAAGCTAAAGACTACTTAGTTTTCAGTGAACATATTAAATATCTATGCTAAATTTATTCCAAGTTATTAGATGATTTTTGGTAAACTGCCTTTGGTATTATTTTCTTGTAAATTTACAGAAACTGATTTTTTTTATTTTGACCTGGTATCTAATGCTCTTACTAATTCACTTACTAATTCTAACAGTTTACACATTCTTTGGGCTTTCCTATGTACTATGTCATCTGCAGTTTTACTTCTTCCTTTTCAATTTTTATCCCTTTCTTTTTTTCCTGCCTTACTACAGTAGGTAGGACTTTCAGTACAATGCAGAAGAGGAGTTGTGACAATCAGGTACCCTTGTCTTTTTCCTGATCTCAGGGGAAAGTATACAAGATTTCACCATAAGCATGGTACAGTGGATAAGCCCTCAGCTGCTGACCGAAAGGTCGGTGGTTGAAACTCGCCAGTTGCTCTATGGTGAGACTTTGGCAAAGAACTGCTAGTAACAAGCAAAGGGCAGAACATATTTAATGTGGTATCTTCTTTTCTGGAAACAAAAAGTCTGTCTCGAAGGAACTGTTCGCATCAACAGTGCGGTGCCCCATCAAAGGTTGGCTCAGGGAAAGGATTTGCCTCTCCTCAGAAAAAAAATCCTGATGTTGTCCCAGGACATTGCTTTCTTCTGAGAGGCGCTAGTATCAAAAACCCTTGGAAATGAAATGTGTTAATGATGCTACAAAAATGATTTGCTTTATTAAACAAAGACCAGTTCACTTGAGCACATAAACCTCCTACTACATACCGAAATCCATTGGCTTAGCAGAGGAGTTCTCAATACAACATTTAAAGCTGAAAGATGAATTACAGAAGTACTTTCAAGAAAATGGTAGGCCGTACTTTACCAAGTGCTTTGAAGATGAAGGACGACTGCAGAAGCTTTCTTACGAGACTTTTTTTTATCCTGTGAACCAGATGAACAAGTTTCTGAAAGGCCCTAGAAAAAAATACTCTGACTTCAAGTGACATGACTTTGGGATTTCAAAGGAAAATCTCTGGAAAAGTCATGTAGCAAAAGGAAATCAGCAAGTCTAATGTATCAAGAACTAAAAAACTAAAAAACAAAAATAATATTTTCCCTCCCTTTCAACACAAATGTATGCCTAGGTGAAGGGCACCTTGTCTGAATCTTCTGCTCATCTGAGAAGGAAACTTAGAGGAAAAAAAGAACTTTGTAAATGCAGTCTAGTAATCTTAAACTCCAGGGGAAATTTACTAATCTGCCCAGAGACAAGTTCTACATTTCTGTGAAAGAAGAATATCCTGTCATACATAAGAAAGCAATGAACATTTGTCTGTAGTTTTCAACTTCTGACATGTATGAGCCAGCTTTTTCTTGTTTCAACAACATCAACAGCAAAGACTGAAACTGTCTCACTTCAGTGGAAAATAAAATCTGTATGTGTTTATCTCAAGTTTGACCCAGAATTGAGTATTTATGCAGCAAAAATAAGCAGAGGTTTCACATTAAAGAGGGTGAAATTCTATTCCTTACTTCTAGTTTCAAAAACTGTATATTTTTATGCATGAAGAAACAAAATACTGATTTAATAATTTTCTTTTTAACTGCTAAATGTCTTAGGCTGTATTTTTATTCATATTGTTTTAGCTTAGGGTTTTAAGTTAGCTTTCCTCAACACTGTCAATAAATTCTCAAGTTATAAGTAACAGAAATTTAAAAGTTTTATTTAAATCTAAATCTACTAAGCCTATCCTTAGAAAATTTAAATTTCATTTTGGCTTAAGTCAGCTATTTGACAGAAATTTATTATGCTTGTCTTGTGATTTTTTTTAAATGTATGCAAAAGGTGATTAATATCAAGAAAGGTAAACTAAGCCCATACTACCTAGTTGTGTTTTTGTGTTTGTTTAAAGAAAAGTTGCCTAGAAGATTACTTTCAGTTTATAAACGGTAACAAAATTACTCTAGCATGCACCATTCCTTATTAGCTTCTTGTACAGAAATTAGTGATAAGAGCATTAGGCCTACTTGAAGAGGTTAAAACAAGTATAAATTTTAAAAAAGAAAAAGTGAGGTCTATTTTACCAACACTACTGACTTACATTAGAATTGATAAACTTTCTGGGTAAGAGAAACCACAAAAAAACAGTTGGCTAATATACTGGGCAAAATAAATACAAACAAAAAAAATACCATTCTCTTCTCAAAAGAATACAGATAATTATTACTGGCTCATTATAGCTACAATTTCCACCACTCATCTGTCAGTTCGTCATACTGTGTTGGCTTGAGTGTTGTTGTGATGATGGAAGCTATGCCACCAGTATTTCAAATACCAGCAGCGTCACCCATGGTGAACAGGTTGCAGCAGAGCTTCCAGAGTAAGACAGACTGGGAAGAAGGACCTGGGGATCTACTTCTGAAAGAACTGGCCAGTGAAAACTTTATGAATAGCAGCAAAACACTGTCTGATACAGTGCCGGAAGATGAGCCCCTCAAGTTGGAAGGCACTCAAAATATGACTGGGGAAGAGCTGCCTCCTCAAAGTAGAGTCGATCTTAATGACGTGGATGGAGTCAAGCTTTCAGGACCTTCATCTGCTGATGTAGCACGACTCAAAATGAGAATAGCTGCAAACATCCATTAATGACCGTGATAGAACGAGGACTGTGCAAAGTTATGAATTAAAGAAAACTGGAAGTTGTCGAAAATGAAATGGAACACTTAAAGATCAAAATCCTCTAGGCATTAGTGAGCTGAAATGGACTGGTATTGGCCATTGTGAATCAAACAACAGTATGACCTATTACACCAGAAATGACAAACTGAAGAGGAACAGCATCGTGTTCATCACCAAAAAGAATATTTCAGGATCTATCCTGAAATACAGTGCTGTCCATGATAGGATAATACATATACACCTACAAGGAAGACCACTTAATATGACTATTATTCAAATTTATGTACCAATCACTAATGCCAAAGATGAACAAATTTGAAGATTTTTACCAACTTCAGTCTGAAATTGATCAAACATGCAATCAAGATGTGCTGATAATTACTGGTGATTGGAATGTGAAAGCTGGAAACAAAGAAGAAGGATCAGTAGTTGGAAAATACGGCCTTGGTGACAGAAACAATGCCGGAGATCACATGACAGAACTTTACAAAACCAATGACATATTCATTGGAAATACCTTTTTTCAACAACATAAACAGCGACTATACATGTAGACCTCGCCAGATGGAACACACAGGAATCAAATCGACTACATTTGTGGAAAGAGACAATGGAGAAGCTCAACACTGTCACTCAAAAAACAAGGCAAGGGGTCAACTGCGGAACAGACCATCAGCTGCTCATATGCAAGTTCAAGATGAAGCTGAAGAAAATTAAAACAAGTCAACGACAGCCAAAGTACAACCGTGAATACATCTCACCTGAATTCAGAGACCATCTCAAGAATAGATTTGCACACTGAACACTAATGACTGAAGACCAGGCAAGATGTGGAATGACATCAAGGACATCACGCATGAAGAAAGCAAAAAAGAAAGAAAAGACCAAAATGGATGTCAGAAGAGACTCTGAAACTTGCTCTTGAACGTAGAGTAGCTAAGCAAAAAAAAAAAAGAAATGATGAAATAAAAGAGCTGAACAGAAGATTTCAAAGGATGGCTCGAGAAGATAAAGTAAAATATTATAATGAAATGTGCAAAGACCTGGAGTTAGAAAACCAAAAGGGAAAGAACTGAAGAAAAAATCCAAGCCTCGAGTTGCAATACTGAAGGATTCCACAGGCAAAATACTAAACGACACAGGAAGCATCAAAAGAAGACGGAAGGAATACACAGTTACTGTACCAAAAAGAACTGGTCGATGTTCAACCATTTCAGGAGGTAGCATGGGATCAAGAACCAATGGTATTGAAGGTAGAAGTCCAAGCTGCACTGAAGGAAACTGGTGAAAAATAAAGCTCCAAGAATTGACAGAATAGCAAGTGAGATGTTTCAACAAATGGATGCAACAGTGGAAGCTCTCACTTGTCTATGCCAAGAAATTTGGAAGACAGCTACCTGGCAACTGACTGGAAGAGATCCATACTTGTACCCATTCCAAAGAAAGGTGCTCCAACGGATTGCAGAATCATTGAACAATATCATTAATATCACATGCAAGTAAAATCATGCTGAGGATCATTCAAAAATGGCTGCAGCAGGGCACTGACATGGAACTGCCAGAAATTCGAGGACAATTCAGCAGAGGACGTGGAATGAGGGATACCACTGCAGATGTCAGATGGATCTTGGCAGAGAGCAGAGAATACCAGAAAGATGTTTACCTGTGTTTTATTCACTATGCAAAGGCATTAGACTGTGTGGAACATAACAAATTATGGATAACATTTTGAAGAATGGGAACTTCAGAACACTTAATTGTGCTCATGAGGAATCTGTACACAGATCAAGAGGTAGTCGTTCAAACAGAATAAGTGGATACTGTGTGGTTTAAAATCAGAACAGTGGATGTCAGGGTTGTATCCTTTCACCATACTTATTCAATCTGTATGCTGAGCAAACAACCTAAGAAGCTGAACTACATGAAGAAGAAAGGGGCATCAGGATTGGAGGATGACTCATTATAACCTGCTATATGCAGATGACACAACCTTGCTTGCTGAAAGTAGACTAGAAGCACTTATTGATGAAGATCAAAGACTAAAGCCTTCAGTATGGATTATACCTCAACATAAAGAAAACAAAAATCCTCACAAATGGACCTACAAGCAACATCATGATAAACAGAGGAAATGTTGAAGTTGTCAAGGATTTCAGTTTACCTGGATTCACAATTAACGCCCATGGAAGGAGCAGTCAAGAAATCAAACAACATATTGCATTGGGCAAATCTGCTGCAAAAGACCTCTTTAAAGTGGTAAAAAACAAAGATGTTAAACCTTGAGGACTAAGAGACACTTGACCCAAGCAATAGTATTTTCAATCACCTCATATGCATGTGAAAGCTGGACAATGAATAAGACTGAAGAATTGATGCCTGTGGATTATGGTGTTGGCAAAGAATATTTAGTATACCACGGACTGCAGAAGAACGAACAAATCTGTCTTGGAAGAAGCACAGCCATAATTCTCCTTGGAAGCGAAGATGGCGAGACTTCATCTCACACACTTTGGACATGTTATCAGACATGTTTATCAGGAGGAACCAGTCCCTGGAGAAGGACATCATGCTCGGTAAAGTAGAGGGTCAGCAAAAGAAGAAGACCCTTAAGAAGATGAACTGACACAATGGCTGCAACAATGGGCTCAAACACACCAACAATTGTGAGGATGGTGCAGGACCGG